GTCGCGACGGCGCCACAGATGTCTCAAATTGGTAAATGCCAACAGAGCCTTCTGTATGCGGGCTGAAACTTCATCCGTGATGCGTCTACCGGGTGAGATGTAGCTGCCAAAATAACAAAACTTATTCTTTTTGCTCTATGATTTCCCCAGTTTAAGTGAAGTTTGATGCTGGACCAATCTTAGAGCAAAACCTTTGCACTTTAAAGATGCAAAGTGCAGACAAAATATAGATATACTAGCTTTTAAACTATCTAAAATGCTGCAACTTCCTGTGGCTCTTTACTTAATTTTGTTTGCATATTCCGTATCAGACAGTCCATACCCTGGGAGATAATTGATGCCCCCTATCCTCGCACAAGAATAGAGCTGTTTTACGAATTAAATCTATGACCAAATTGAACGGAAAATGAAAGGGACAAGACCACCCAAAAGAACACTGCTTGATTGCTGAATTTGGGACAAAACTGCCGTAAGCTCAGACCCGACTTCAGCTGTTAGTATAAAAGAAATTGTAATATTGAAATAAATTTATCGGGCACACCATTCATGGAAAGGCAGCGTCAGAGCTTAGAGCGGTCAACGTAATGAACATGAATGGACGCGATGAACAGAAAAATTGATTAACACCACTCAACGGCAAAAAAAACGAACATAAATTGTTTCAAACGGGACTTACAAAGTTTAATTAGATGGAGTCGGGGCCACTCCTAGATTCATCCTTCTATGGTGTTCGACGTAATTAACGCCACAAAGATGAGGAACATTTGTTCTACATCGTTTATGAACATTCAAGTTGCAACCTTCAAAACGGTGGGACAAGATGGTGAGTTTCTTTTCCGAATGACTCACTTCGACACTTCAGGCCCTGATGAACAAGTCCGTAAATCAGAGAACCGCAATGGCCGCAAAACGTAGGAGTAAAGAACGTGCGCTCAGAAAACTCATGGCATTTCTCAAACTAAACCAGGAAAATAAGGTAACATTTTATGTTTGCAAAATACTACATCTCCCTGTGAACATAAATCCATTCCTGGGCAGTGAAATGCAACCAATCGGTGGCATCGCTTGTGTGTGGCAAAGGAACAATCTTTGCACTGAAAACCTTGTTTTCCCAGTCCCCTAAAATAAATGAAACTTTGAAAAAACTTCATAGAACAAACCATATAAATCCCTTGCAATATCCACAAAATGTTGGTTGTTTGAACAGCTTTTCGACAAATTTGTGACCATTTGCGTTAGTAATGTTCTCTTGATGTGCAGATTTCCTTGAACCAGCTTCACCTGAAACATTGTGACTTTCCTCTTGAGCAATGGTCATTGTGTTTTGAATTCTCAGATATAAGTTGCTTAAAAACTAAATGAAAGTTAGCGCTGAAATAAAAGGCAAAAAAATGTTACCACACACAGAAAATCACAGACATTTACGAAAAAGGTAAATATTGAACTTCCTTCTCCAGAGTAAAGGAGCCATCAAGCAAACACAGAACTGAAAAAGTTAGAACCATTGTCGAAATCTACTGCAACTGAAGCAAAGCACTAATATATTATTCTCAATAATGTAACTTTCCAAACATGTGGTTGAAATTTTCTTTGTGAAACTAGGTCAGGCCAGTTCTGGTTTCTAGGTCGAAAACAGGTTTTCGCCTAACGCCCATCCAGGTTCATACACCAGTAGGATTCGGGACTTCCTCTGGTGCTACGACGTAAAAATTATTTCCGTTAATTGGGATGGTTGGTTTATATTCTGTTATTTCGGACAGCTACCCGAGTGAGCATCAATGCCAGGGTTTTACTTCAGGTGATACTGTTTAGTGTTATATTAAAAAGGTTAAAAGAGGGAGGAGTGGTAGGCATAGGAACCAGCAGTACCATTATGGAGCCTCACTTTCACACTCAAATTAGAGACCGGCAGTTGTAGCACAGTCAGCATTGGCCAGCAAGCGGAGCATTGTGTCACTTTTGGTGCTACTATTTTTCTTATATGCATCTGTGATTTGCAATGGTGAGTGGTATGCTGAGATACATTCGGATGCGTGCTGTATAGTGTACGATGTATGAGTGTGGTGAAATTTTCGTGCCTGTGTGCAGCAGACCTTTTGTTTTTTCTAATGTTTATTTATTTATTTTATTCACGTTTTTAAAACATTTTTAAAATAACATTTTAAAAAGCGGAGAAAATAGAGGAAAACGTGGAATTAATTGCTTTGACGTTACAATGCCTTCATGAGTCAGTCATTATTACTTGATCGATTTCATTCTGTAATTCCTTAGAATTTTGCAATTGTTTAACTTCAAGTATACTTCAACGTACGTTCCATGTAAGAAACGTACGTCTGATTCTTAAACTGGAGTAAACATTACCTAGTTTTATAAATAAACATATATATTTATGAATGAGCGTAATTTATAAGCATATAAATATATAAACAAATACATAAATGTATGCATACATTTTGAAAGGCTTTTATAATGTTGCTTCATGAAACAATCAAACATAAAAAGAAAAAATCCATAGATTTTCTTTTTTATTGTCGTCAATAGCGGGCATGCCAGCAATAAAAGCGGAACTATCGAGCGCCTGAATAATAACCACAATCCTTACCGTATGACCTTCAAACTAAAATAGTGGGCTAAATGAGTAGCTCGTACATTGAGTGGGCAGCCGGTAAAAACAAAAATTAGTTAGATTGGGTATTTACACTTCAATTGAGTTCATGTCTGCGTGACATGATGTTCAGGATGGGACGGGATATTAATTGCGGCAAAGCCTGATGGAGTCCAGTTTCTGCCACCAGGTCGGCTCCTCTTCTTCTAGAGACAGCAGGCGTAGTCCCGTATGAGTCCCCTCGCCGCTACTCATTTGCATGAATTAGATGTTCGTGTCTTGCCATCACTTTCTTGGAAGGCGTCCAGCCGGCGCTTGAATATTTGGTTATTTATCTCCTCCTCCGCGTCTTCCGATAGCATATTCCACATGTCGATCCCCCTAAGGGAAAGGTCAGGTAAGGTCAGGTTGTACAGGACGGAAAAGGCTTTCGCCAACCAAGCGTTCAGATTCTTGCTTCGGTAGGAAGGTTTCTTCTCCCAAA